AAAAAAAAAACAGAATCACCGAGTTGGAAAAAGTATCACCCCCTTGTGTCAGTATTTTGTTGAACCACCTTTTGCTTTAATTACAGCCTTTAGTCCATTGGGATATGTCTCCACTAACTTTGCACATCTAGACTTTGCAATATTTGCCCACTCTTCTTTGCAGAACTGCTGAAGTTCAGTTAAATTTGATAGTGACTATTTGTGGACTGCAGTCTTCGAGTCATTCCACAGATTAAGATTTTCAATGGGGTTTAAGTCTGGCCCTGACAGGCCATGCAAGGACATTCACCTTTTTCTCCTTCAACCATTGTGTGCTCAGGTTTGCTGTGGGCTTTGGGTCATTGTCATGCTGGAAGGTAAACCCTCGTCCCTTTTGACAACTTTGGGCAGCAGATTGCAAGAATTTGACAGTATTTTGCCCCATCCATTTTTCCTTCTATCCTGACAATTGCTCCAGTCCCTGCTTCAGAGAAACTCCCCCTTAACAGGACATTACCACCTCCATGCTTTACTGTAGGAATGCTGTTATTTGGATGGTGAGCTGTATTGGATTTCCGCCAGACACATAATTTGGTGTTGAGGCTAAATAATTAAATTTTAGTCTCATCTGCCTCAGAATCTCCAAGGTGTGTTTTGGCAAAGCTCAGACTGACTGCATGTGGCCTTTCTTGAGGAGTGGCTTTATTCTTGCAACCCTCTCATACAAGCTACATTTGTGGAGAATTTGTGATATTGTTGTCACATGCACACAATGACCACTCTTTGTCATAAAGTCCCACGACTGCTTCAGAGTTGCTGTAGGCCTCTTGGTCGCCTCTCTCTTTGTCATAAATTCCTGCAACTGCTTCAGAGTTGCTGTAGGCCTCTTGGTCCTTCTGGCTCTTTCATCCAGTTTGGAGCGACGTCCTGATCCAGGGAGGGTCTGTGTTGTATCAAATACCTTCCACTTCTTAATAATAGACTTCACTGTGCTTCTAGGCATTGATAAAGCCTTTGGATTTTTTTGTATCCATCTCCTGACTTGTGCCTGTCCACAACTTTATCCCAGAGATCTTTTGACAGTGTCTTGCCACCCATAGTTTATTGTTTGCTTTGTTTTGCACTACCACGGACTGAAATGCTCCAGGAAAGCTCTTTTCATGCCGAGCTAATCAAAATTACCAAAGCTGATCACAGTTGAAAGTCAGATGGCTTTGTGTGCCATTGAGAAGGTGATTAGCTACACCTGATTTATTATACAAGTCATTTTTAGGAGGGGGTGATCCTTTTTCCAACACAGTGATTGTTGGTGTTATATCTTTCACTTGGATGTTATAAGTTGCACTGAGTAAATACAGCTGAATAAAACAAAAACTGTGTCCGTCTTCATTTCAGGCTGCAAAGCAACAAAATTTGATTATTTTTCTTTTCTATACCCACTGTAGTTCATACATGAGCTTCTGGTAGTGTAACAAGAGTTGGTCAGTAAACAGTAGTTTCCTTCAATATAACTCGCCTCCTTGATATTTGTTCTGTTCTCAGAGAAATTGGCAACAACAACAAAGCCATGCTTCCCTGGCTGTTTGTTCAAAAAGAGAAATACAACAAAATATGCTGCCCACTCGAGGCCATACGACCATCACCTGTGCAGGTAAATCATCTATGTGCTCACTGCTCACATAAATTATTCTAATCACAGTCACACTTAATTAACTAACCAAAAAATATTATAAAGTATCGTGGTATTACCAATGCATTCAGTATGCAGATTTTTTTTTGATGGCTTTCAAAAGGGTCAAATGAACATTTCAGGGATTAAACGGATGCATAATTGCATATTAAATCATCCGTTTAATAGAATCTGTGGTTACAGAAATAAGATTAAGTGTGATTTGTCCTGTGCTTACAGACAGAGTACAGGAATAAGTGTGAGTTTGTGATTGGAGTGGGAGCAGATGGAGAGGATAAGACTGTGGGCTTTCGTTTGGGTAAGTATAAAGGAGGATCCTGTGCAGTAGTGAGTCCTTCAGAAACCACCCATGTGTCTTCAGAGGCCAAGAGGGTTGTGCAGGGATTCCAGCAGTTCATCAGGTGAATGAATATTTTCTTTTATTTACTGCTGATTATACCTAATATGCATCCAAATCCAGCCATATTTATGAAGTGCAATGCGTTTTGAAGGTTTTTTTTTTTTTTATTCCAGGGGCAAAATATAAGTTTGCGTTACCCATCAGCCATTGTGTATGTATTTATTTCTATTTCGAAGTGTTTTGTGTGTTGATATTCTAAACAGGACAACCCCGTATGCAGTATACAGTCCAGAGACTTATGAGGGTCATTGACTAACAGTACGAACAAGCAGGATAAAGCAAACCATGGCCATTGTTTTCTTCAATCCACAGGTAATAAGAGATTTATTCAGTGGTTATTTGTGTGTCCACTTTAGTCCACTTTCATGTTGGTTATGTATTTTACAAACTGTGGAACTATTGTGACTGCTGTTTGAAATATTACGTTTTTAAACAACCTAGAAACTCCAAGAAGAAGAAATTGAGGAACTGAAATGAAACCTGCATCAGTATTTTACCGAAGGAGAAGGAACAGAAAGTGGCATCACTTCTTTGTACTTTGTGAGAATGGGACAAAGGTAAGACCCTCAAAAGTTCAAATGAGATGAAGTTAGATTTTAGATGACTTTACACTCATTTATTAATTTGCATCAACCCAGGACATCAGCAGGTACAGAGGACCTGCCGTGTGAACATGTGACTGGAGAAGAATGGATTCATGAAGAGCTTCTCGGACTAAAATTCCGCATCTCTCCGCACTCATTTTTTCAGGTGTACCTCCTGACCATTTGACTATCATATCGTTTCCTGAGAATTAACACTATGATAGTTAAAAGGCATCATGCATGACATTAATGCTTTAATATTTTAAGCTTAAATGTTCTGCATTAGTGCTATAAAAATGTATATTATTATGATTTTGATACTTTCAGACAAACACCCCTGCTGCTGAGGTTCTGTACTCTGCTGTGGGTGAATGGGCTCAGCTGGACGTGTGCTGTGGAACAGGAACCATCGGCATCTCACTGGCAAAGGTGCGCCGTTTGCTTCTAAAAATAAACAAAAATATGAATGAACAGAGCAACAGTTAGCCTTCTAAAAAAAAAAAAAAAACAACTTGTGTGTTAACAGAGAGTGAAGAAGGGGATTGGCATAGAGTTGTGCCAGGAGGCAGTGGAAGATGCTAAGGCTAACGCTGAAGCTAATGGTAGGCCAGAGTGACATTATCACTGTCCAGTTTTTCTCTCTTCATCTCCCATGATCTGCTCCGATTTCAAATGTATATTTTCAGGCTTGACCAATGTGGAATTCCACTGTGGAAAGGCTGAAGACGTGTTCCCCACTATTCTAAATGCTGTCGTATCCCCCAGCGTCACGGCAATCGTTGACCCCCCAAGAGCAGGGCTACGTACGTACAGTACTCTCATAGTATCTTGAACCTTTACCTTGCAGACATGGTGTTTTTACGTTCTCTGCCCAAATATTCTCACTTTTACTAGATTCCAAAGTTATTCTAGCAATCAGAAGAGCAGAGCATCTTAAGAGACTCGTCTACGTCACCTGCAATGCCAAAGCAGCTATGAACAATTTTGAGTAAGTTCATTATTTTCTATATATTTTACGTCACATTCAGGATAGGGACATCCAATCTATTGTGAATTGATAGCATTTTGATGGGCATTACATGTCAGAATGGAAGTGGTTTGACTGAAAAGGTTGAAACATGAGAGGGATTTGTGACATTACCCAAAAGGGAGATCAGAGGCTTATATTTTGATAAAATAAACTTTTTATCCTGGCACAATGTTGACTTTCCTCTGAAAATATAATATTCCCATTTAACTTTATTACCTAGAGCTGCAGGCGCATCAGACCCTACTCCATTTGAATCAGTTATTCTAAAACTTATGTTTGTCTTGAAGTCTCTGCAGAGCTCCTTCTAACCGTGTGCGAGGAGCCCCCTTTCGTCCAGTGAGAGCTATGGCTGTTGACCTCTTCCCCCAGACCATGCACTGTGAAACCATCCTGCTGTTTGAAAGAGTGGACTACAGCTCCAACACTGACATTTAGACCACAGAGACCTGACGCTCCGTTATCTTTACCATCTACCATGCCGGCGTGGCTGTTTTGCTCCCATTAAAACGCTTGATGGTAGTGCTTATGGGAAAATTTCAAATGTTCACTTCAGATTTCAACTGACTTGATTAAAGTGCTCAAACCATTACCATGTTTTTTTTTGTTTTTTTTTTAAATAGGCTTCTTTTTTCCCCTCTTTTGTTTGCATTAAAACAACCCAGTAAAAACAGCACAAGTTATCGGTTTCTGGTCATCAATTTATTTGTATAAACAAATCACTGTGTATCAGCGATCGTGTCGCATTAAAATAACATTTTAATAGGCAGCATTACTTGCAGCTAAATCATCCAACATTATCCCTTCAATGATAGCGACTAAAAAGCAGGCATTTCTTCAGGCAACTAATACACACTTAGCAAGACTGACAGGACAAGTCGTACACTCCAGACGTTTATTGGGAAAGCATATTCTCGAAGCACTCTTAGTGGCAGCAGCAGCAGCCTTGTGCTCATGGAAAACAGGAAAGTGCGTTCACAAACGCAGTTAACATTCAGAAGCACACAAACTAAAATACTAGATTCAGTGACAGTGCACTGCAGTTTTTAGTCGCTGTCCCAAGAAAACCTGATCTCCCCCGCCCCCACCACCCCAGACTTTGACCATCCTGTCATATCTTAAGGCTAGAATATCTGGTAACACTTTATTTCGATAGTCCACTTTAGACATTCTATTAACAGCAAGTAACTTTGCCACTACATGTCAACTAGCAGTTAGTAGAGTATTAGTAGACTGTCTGCTTAATATCTTCTAACACTTTCTTTGTGAACTTATTCTACTAACCCTAAACCTACCCTAACAGTCTACTCTGAGAGTTAGTAGACATGGAGTTGCAAATTAATGAGAATTAGTTGACATGTAGTTGACATGTAATTGAAAATTAATGAGAATTAGTTGACATGTAGTTGACATGTAGTTACAAAGTTACTTATAATTAATACAATGTCTAAAGTGGACTATCGAAATAAAGTGTAACCAAA